AAACGTTTCTGTGTTCATGTGGCCGGCATGACTAAACACCAAGGCGCACGGAGCGCTGTTACCTTCCCACCGAAGTGGTACCTATTTATCTACTTGCAATTTCTTGCTTTCGAACGGCTAGGTTGGCAGGAGCTGGAACTAGAGATGGGAGCTCACTCCGTCATGTGGCACACTCGGGTCTCGAACTGCTGAACTACCAACCTCCCACAGCCTGCAGTTCAGCGTCTTAACCATTTGAGCCACCGCAGCTCCTCTTGAAGATTACAGGGATATAGAAGCAACAGAACAAAGTTTGAGTCCGGTGGTACCATGAAGACGAACAAAGTTTAATTCTGAGTATAAGCTTTTATGTGCATGCCCACTTCTTCAGATCTGCATGCACACAAAAGCTTAAATCCCAGAATTAAAATTTGTCAGTCTTAAAGGTGCCGCTGGACTCAAACTTTGTTCTGTCACATCAGCATGTTTAGTTGGTATGTCAGCTACTAAAGTCATATCACTATTTCACTGAGTTATATTTTTTAAAAGCTTTAGTGCAGAGAAGGGCAGCTGTGGGGGGTGGGGGGAGCTGTGGCAAGGAACACGGTCCGAATGTCAGTGGGGCCTGTAAAACTGTGCATCTTCTTGCCCACACACACTGAGAAAAGGTGCTGTCCCAAAAGATTTCAAATTTGGAAAATATTGCAGCAAAGGAGGGGGGGCATGGAAGGTGGCCAATCTGAGGTTATGTGGATGGTCTTTGCAAAAGCAGTGGAGATCCTCTTTCTCCAGTGTAAATTCACCCTTTAGGCAGCGTTTTAAAAAAAACAACAAAACAATCCTGCAGTGCCATCTACTGGCAGAATGTATGTTTGTCCTGATCACTTTCTTTAATTTCATACTTTTACAAATTTGCCAAAAAACTTAACTGTAGAATGATATGAAACCTTTTGGGCCTGAAATAGCTTGTGGGGGGGGGGGGGCTCTGAAAGTGTGAAATTTAATAGGAAATAACAAAGAAGCACCATTTCTTGCCATATTTGGACTGGTTGCAGAAATGTGTTCCTAATATAAAAGCCATACGTTTGCCTGGAAATCGAGCCCAGTGGTACAGACTTGTGGTCCTGGCTGCACATAGGGTTGGCAACTTCCAGATGGTGCCTAAGGATCTCCTGCGGAGCTAAGAAAGACATTTTTTCTCCCTCTCCCCCCCAAAAAATAGAACTTAAGGGTATCTAATGGCCCTGATGGGCAGTAGGTTCCAGGTGGACAAAAGGAAATACCAGTTTACACAGAGTGTGATTAAAATGTGGAATTCACTGCCAGAGGATGTAGTGATGGCCACAGGCA